TTATCAAGACCTTTAAAACAAGCTTAGAACCACTCGAATTGGATGTGTGGCTGAGGAGTTATGGTCTTGCCCCTTTCGAAACCCTAATTCCCGATTTTTGCAATTACTTCCTAACCCTTGATCCAATGGTCATGAAATTTTATGGGGAGGTGTAATATGATGTAAGGAACATTTATCATTCACACCTTGAAGTCAAATTCTTTATTGTTGGAGAGTTGACTTTTCGGTCAACCGTTCGATCGATCGGTGTCTACCGAGTCGCCCATTGGTGATCCGAACATCCTGAGGACTTGAAACTCTTTGGATGGACTTTAATAAGCCATAGGAGCTTAATAAACTTTGATCCCACCATTGAAATACTCTTTGAATCAAAAGTCAAACTACAGTTGACTTTTTCTAATCGGAAACCCTAATCGGGTATCTCAAATTACACTGTTCTCAATCCCCGGGTGACCACCTCTAATTGAGCTTATTCTTAATCCAATGTAACATCCTCGATCTTGTTTGAAGTTTGATCAATCCAAAACACTGATTGATCAAACCATCGAAGCCTCGATTTTGACGGTACAGAACCCTAATTCATCTGTATCTTAACAAAGATAAACTAAAAATGGGTTAAGGTTAATTAATCAAGTGAATATGATCCTATAATGATGATGAGGATCTAAGGGGTCAAATTTTGGGGTGCAACACATAATTCTCAATATTCCACAACAACCACCGAAAATTATCAAAAATGTGAATATTCATATTTAAATAAATTGAATAAATATTTTAAGAATTTGAGGTGTTACACTTCTTACTAGGAGGTAGTTCAATAACATCCCAAGTGGGATTCTCAGCAAGAGCTTGTAACTCAACATTCATAGCATTCTTCCAATAGTCAAATTGAATAGCTTGGTTATAGGTTTTTAGTTCAATGTTAGATGAGATGGCACAACAAAAATGTTTATAAAGGGAATACATTTATCATATGTGAGAACTGAAGATAAAGGATATGTAATTGTAGAATCATTAAAATGCAATGAATGAGATTTATTGACAGAATAACAGTGGTAATCTACTAACTAACTTGGGGGATGTAAATTTATGGTAGAATCTTAGAGGTTGGGGTGTATTGGTATTGGTAGCAGAATTTGTGGGAGAAGGTGGGTTGAGGGAGACTTGTTCACTGGAAAGCTCATTTGATATGGGATGGATAAAAGGACTAGGAATAAAGCTGTTGGGATTAGGAATAGATCTGTTGGGACTAGGAACAGTTTGGACAAGATAGATAGGACATGCAGTGCCAGGACTTATATCAGTAGGACCTATAATATCAGGAGTAAGACTATAGGTAGGAAGAGATTAAGATTCATTGGTTTGGCTATGAGATAAAGGTGATGTGACAGTTTCATGAAGTACATTAGGTGTGTCACTTCCATGAGAATTATTAGGTAAGTCATTGTCATAAGAATATGACATATCAGTAGTAGTAGCAAAACTAGGGAAAGTAGGTAAATCATCAAGAAAGGAAGAAGATTGAGGACTAGGTTGAGGTTGTTTATGTTTTGGGATAATGTTATGGTCAGGTTTGAATGGATAATTATTTTCATAGAAAATAACATTTCTAGATACAAAAGTATTGTGACTGTGCAGGTCATATAAAATATACCCTTTAATTCCATCCTTGTAATCAAGAAAGACACATTTGTAAGCCCTAGAATCAAACTTGGTTCTATGAGCTTGTAAGGTTGTGGCAAAACATAAACAACCAAAAACCTTCAAGTGTATCAATGAGGGTGGTCGAGAAAATAAAAGTTCATGAGGACATTTTAGTTTCAATAAGGGAAAAGGTAGTCTATTAATCAAATGAATGGTATGTTGGATACAAAAATTCCACACGTTTAAAGGAAGACTAAAATGAAAATATAGGGTCCTAGAAACATTCAAAATGTGTTGATGTTTTCTCTCAACCACCCCATTGTTGGTGTGTTTTAACACAAGATTTTTTATGGATGATACCTTTGGTCAAAAGAAGCTCAGATAAGGCAGCAAACTCTATGTCATCATCTGTCCTAAGGCACTTTAGAGATGATTTGAACTTCTTTTCAATGTAGGCTATGAATTGTATGAGATTTTTTTTAACTTGGTCTTTTGTTTTAAGAAATATAACCCAAGTATATCGATTGTAGTCATCAACAAGTCTTAGAAAGTATTTATGGCCTAAAAAGGAAATAGTAGAAAATGGACCCCACACATCAGCATGCAATATTTCAAAAGGAACACAAGATTGAGTATTACTATAAGCAAAAGGTAACTTTTTCTATTTTCCAAAGTGACAAGATTCACAAGGATTATTGTTGTTTGTACATGGAATGAGAGGAAACAACTTTGAAACAACTTTCAAGCCTACATTGGAGATATTTCCTAATCTAGAATGCCAAAGATTACAAGTGTTATTAACAGAAGGAGTATAAACTGATGATTATGGTGTAGAGTCAAGAACATACAACCCTATTTGCAACTTAGTTGTACCAATCATTGCCTTGGAAAAGTTCTGCATGATTTGACAAGTATCAGCAGTGAATTGCACAAAACAATCATTACTACTGACATGTTTAGCAATGGAAATAAGATTGACATGAAAATTTGGCATGTATAGTACATTATGCAAAGTGAGGGATGGTGAAACAATGACACTACCAGACATAGATGCAACAATGTGAGAAGCATCAGGGAGGTTTACATGAACATGTATGATATTTTTGCATGTAATGAAAGATGCTTTGTCAAAAGAAATATGACTCGTTTCACCTGTATCTAAAATCCAAATATTAGCATTCTTACCATTAGGGGAATTTGAGTGAGAGGTCATGGCAAAAGGAGAAATAGAAATGCAATTGGCTTGAGGATTCAATTTTGACTGTTGAAGTAATCCTATGATGTTGTTATACTGCTCTTGAGTGAATCCAAAAAAATATGTAGTAGAACCTTGTGTAGAAGACTCAGAAACAATGTTGACTGCAACAACGGATTGAGCATTATTTCTAGCATTTTCTGGTTTACCCTTTCCTTTAAAACTAGGAGGAAAACCATGCTTTATAAAACAAGTTTCAATGGTGTGGTTTGTTCTCCCACAATGTGTGCAAACACGATCGTGACCTCGTGCACCATTAAAACCCCAAGTCTTCCCTTTGGAGTAGCTAGATTTGCCATTGGAATTACTTGCATTGGTCTGAACTTGAAATGCAACAATTTCTTTAGTGGTAGTACCAGCAGAACTGACAACAGAAACAAAATTGTTCATTTCATGTTTTTGTTGAATAACAAGAGAAAAAGCTTTATCAATATCTGGCAGGAGATTCATCATCATGATCTGCGCCTTAGAGTGTGTAAACTTTTCATTCAACCCTTTAGAAATCGAATTACACAATCTTGTTCACAATATTTTTGAATAGATGCTACCGCGCCATAAGAACAAGGAATTACGCAAGAACAAGCAAGAGTAGGTCGATAATTGTCCAATTCATCCCACAAAACTTTCAGCTAAGTAAAGTAATTAGAGACATCAAGATTACCTTGACGAAGCTTGTACAAATCCTCCTGAATATCAGTAATACGAAACAGGTCATTATGAGAAAATCAGGTTTGGAGGTTCTTCCGTACACCAGTAGCACTATCAATCCATAGAACAAACTTTGCAATGGATTCAGAAATTGAACGATGAAGCCAAGCAAGAACCATGGTGTTGCATCGAATCCATGGAGCATACAAAGGATTTGCATGGGTGGCTTAGTTAGGGTTCCATCAATGAATTTTTCTTTGTTCTTCGAAATTAAAACAATATGCAATGATCTTGACCAAGTGTGGTAGTTCTTATCCTTAAGCAATGGAGAAACAAGAACCAATGCTTGATTTTCATTTAGATGTAAGTAATAAGGGTTTGTAGAATTGGTAGAGAAATCATTATAGATCTGGTAAGCCATTGATGAGATAAAGAAACAAGGACGAAGAGGAAAAATCAAGAAGAAGCAACAACTCTCTAGAAGAAGATTAAATGATGCAGAAAAAAGAAAGAGATCAATAATAGCTACTAGAGCTTTGAATGCTCTGATACCATGTGAAGGTGTTGTGAGAACACACGCAAGCCATAGTGAAAGTAAGAACAAGTTGTACCAGCATTGAAAATAAGAGGAATATTGAAGAAGATGAAAAGAGCTTATTGCATTAATTAACCTTTGAGTAATTAGTACATAGTGTTATATACAAAGTGTAATAACTAACTAGTACGTTGGTGCAACTACCAAACACGTGTAAGGCTAAAATGGATTATGAAATATACTATCCTAACACCTCCCACTAGCTTTAGTTTTTAGAAATGAGTAAATTACCAATTTGTATGTTCTTGTTAAGCTAAGGTGAGCACCTAGGTTCCTACAACTTTGAGTCTTGCTATATAATTTGTTATATTCTTTAAGATGTGAATTTCTTTAATGAATGATCCATAACATATTAAAATTTCTTTAAGATGTAAACCGAGGCCTGCAAAGTAAACAAAGAGAAATATGAAGAAGTACAACTTATAAAAATCCCAAAATAAAAAACTCGTTTAAATTCGATAATGTATCATGACAATATTCCCTTCTATGTAACTGCCACCCCTTGCATGTCTTAGCCAGCCTATCAAACTCAATGAGAATCACAAAACTAATGGACACACCAAGACTTTCTCATAATATAAAAATAAAGAAAACCATAATTGCCACGACTTGACTAAATTATCTTATCTTTACGAAATTTCCAAGTTTAGTCCCACCCCTTGCCAAGAACTTGTACTCCACAAATTCCTGTAATTCATCATTTAACAAATAAAGTTTACAAATCAGTCATTCTTTTGACAGAAATATATGTACCTATGTAACTTCCTTTTCATAAATTGACTTGGTCATTTTGGAACCAATGGAATGTATATTTATACACACATTACTTACCAATCATCATCATTCAATTTTTCCCAAATGGCATATGCTACCAAGCAAACTCTAATTACTCCATCATCAACCACAACAGTTTCTCTTCCTCTCACTTTCCTTGATTTTCCTTTAGCAGGTCCAATTTACGTTAAACGTCAATTTTTCTATCACTTTCCTCATTCAACCGATTATTTTTACGAGACAACACTTCCATCTCTCAAACACTCTCTTTCGCTTACTCTTCAACATTTCTTCCCTCTCGCGGGAAATCTCATGTCTCCACCACCACCCCACAAACCGTATATCATCTGCACGCAAAAGGACTCTGTCGTATTTACCATCACCGAATCATCGGCGAATTTCAACCATCTTTCGGCCAATAAGCACCCCAAAAATATCGAAGACTTTAAGCACCTTGTTCCAAAATTAACACACAAAACAACTCTAGATGATGATGAAACTGAAAAAAACACCTTCATATTCCCTTTGTTGACTTTGCAAGCCACGGTGTTCCCTAACCACGGTCTTTGCATCGCGATCACGTATTGTCATGTAATGGATGATAACTGTTGTAATCATTTCATGAAAACTTGGTCTGCTTTCCATGGAAATTGTGAAGTAAACTTTAAGTTAACACCTTGTTTTGATAGAAATATTTTGAGGGACCCAAAAGGGCTTGAGACAGTTTTCTTAAGAGACTATTTTGAAGAAAGAAAAACATGGAAGAAAAAAGTTACTAGTCAAACTCAAACTCAAATTACCGAAGAAAAACCCCAAGAATATGTTAAAGCAACTTTTGTTTTTGGGAAAGAAGAAATTGAAAGAATGAAAAGATGGATCCTCAATCAATGGAAGAAAAATGATCACGAGATTAAGGCGCCACAGTACTTATCTAAATTTGTCGTAACTTGTGGATTTATATGGGCTAGTTTGGTTAAAACAAGATATAGAAATGATAACGATGACGATGAAAAAGAAGAGTATTTTCGTTTTGCAGGTGATTGTAGAGACAGACTTGGATACGCGATACCAGAAGGATATTTTGGAAATTGTTTAACACTAAGTCATGCAACGGCGAAAAGAAAGGATCTAAAAGGAGAAGAAGGTTTTGTGAATGCTGTTAAGGTAATTGAGAGGGCGGTAACTGAGATGAAAAACGAACTGTTTAAAGATGCGGCGGAATGGAGGGAGACATTTAAGAAGATGTATGAGTTTGGAAGTGTGTTGTTGGTAACAGGATCACCTAAGTTTAATGTTTATGAGATTGATTTTGGATTTGGAAAACCAGTTAAAGTTGACATGTTGCATTCTTTTAAATGTATGTCTATTGCTGAGAGTGGAGATAGAGAAGGTGGACTTGAAGTTGGATTGGTATTTAAGAGTGGGGAATTTGAATATTTTTGTTCTGTCATTGAACAAGGACTTGAAGCTTTTAAAGTTTAAGAAAGGTGTTGTTGTTGTCTTTTAATTCTTCTGTGTATGATTTCCCTATAGTGTAAATCGCAGTCTTTCAAATAATCTTATGGTTGAGACTTCAATAGAAAAATTGACAATCAAATAGTCCAAACACAATTATTTCCAACACATAGAGATCAACTTGATCCATGACATACATTGTATTTGGTTCTATCGTGTAGTTTGACCAAGAATTAGTTTTTATGTAATTGACACAATAATATTCCAAACTCTTAAAACTAGAAACATAAACAAAGACGGGATTAAAGATAAGGAAATTCTTGTATAAAAATGAATAAATTAGAAAATACACTTTATTGAAGTGTCGAGTGTTGTCTTGTTTTCTCTCGGCATTGAAAGGCGCTCAATAGAAAGTGGTTGTTGAGCCAAGATTAGCAGGTGTTTGAGTTCGGTTGTTACTTTTTTTTTTTCGCTTCACTTAACATGTTGTAAAACTTTAGAGTAGGCTGGGAATTGAAAGTACTTGCAACAACATATTTTGGAGTGTTTAATTAATTGGAGAGACACATATGGTCTTTTCAAGTTAGTCGTTAGTATGTTTGGTATTTTTGAACAAGATAATATGGGTTATGGGGAGTCTATATTAAGGAGAAAGATAAAAGGAAGAGCACTAACGTATGGCAATGCCTCTACATGGTTGTAGATGGTAACTTCACAACGGCTATGAAAGTGTTGGGGTGAACCGACGTGCCCCCTATAATGGGCATACAATAAATAATTTAAGGCTAAACACCCATACAAAACATCTCATTTCATGTTGACAACCTTGTTATTTGAAGCTTCTCTAGTAGCCAAAGTTGATACTATCTTCAGGTGTATTAAATTATTTTCCAAAGGGATATCATCTAGTAGAGATGAGAAGCGATAATAACATGTATTAGATGCAATGCATGGAGATAGTTCTGCTATGCCAAAAGATCATTTATGTGTAATCACTCTAGTTTTTAATTTATGGATAGGAGGGAGATGTCTAATGAGTTTGACAAAGTTTGTTCCCTCCCCACCCTTGACGCCGTTATTAAAGTCTGATGGTGGGATACATCCAATTGGTAAATAATGTTGTTGTAAAAGGGGTCAATAAAGATGTATCATTATATCTCAATGACTTCGATTTTGGGGTCGGGGTATCCGGTGATGCTGAGACCATTTTGCACAGTCAAATAATGTGTAAGCAAGTGACATGGATACGATTTTTTTGCCTATGATCACTATAGATTTCTCCAATGTTTTCAACTTGGTGTTTACTGTGAAATTTGGTAAACAACCTCTGGTCTATGAATTTTGGGTAACATTGATTAACTTGCAGGATTGACCATACAAATCCTAGGACATGTGCTAAGTTTAAAAGAAAAAACTAAATTGAACTCCACGTTCGACTGTAAAACTTTGTAAAACAACTTGGAAATTAGCAAGGCTGTAAAATAAAGAGTGCGGTTCTTAAAGCGTCGAAAGTAAAAGACAAGAGGTAAAAGACTTTGAAAATAAAGGCGAGAATGTTAAAAGACTTTGAACATAAAGGCAAGAAAGTAAGCATGTAAGACGTCAAAGGTAAAAGCAATAACTTAAAAGTGCAGGAAAGTAGCAGTCGAAAACAATTAAAAAGGCTTTGAAAATAACAAGTTTAAGGGAAAGTGCAGGAGGTTAAATGGCGGGTTAAGATAAAGTGCAGAAAGTTAAATAGCATGAAGTATAAATGAAAAATGAAGTTTCAAGCAGGAACATGAAAGGTAAAGGTTAAAGGAGAACATGCAAGATAAAATGATAAAAGTACACAAATTGCATTGATGAAAAGAAATGGTGTTGCATCACGTACATTCTCTCTAACTCGTTTCTCTAAACGCGGGTACTTGGAGTGATTTGGAGTAACTTGTACAAGATCAAATGAACACCCCTTATTCTATGGAAATAACCCATATTTATTATGCTAGAAAATAACTGTTAAGTAACGGTTGTTGCTTCAAACGTATCTTTTGGCGCTTTTCTTGACTTCAACCGTTCTCATTTCGCCAACTGCTCTTTTGAAATTCAAATATCAGGAAACTTTCCCTCCAGCCTTAGTGGTGACTGCAGCGCGCTTTTTCCACTAATTTGTGGTCGAAGAACTATCCAACACTTAGCAAATTTTCAGAAGTTTTTCCACAACCTCTCTTCGACTCAGGCTTTACCAAATACTGGGTCGAAGCCTTCTTATGTTTGAACACGCTTGTTTTTTACTTGAGATGACTCTTGATTCTACTAGCGTCGAAAATGAGAGCTAACACTTGGTAGATAGATTAGCCCATTATCACAATGTGAAGTTGTAGCATGGTGATGGACTTATTATGTCAGTCACTGAGGTGCAACAAGATGACTCGTAAGAGACATTCCTTTTTGATCCTGTGTTACACCTGTTTAATAATCATATTAGAGACAATTGTACGCTTTTCATGCATGGTAACTTGATGACGAGACTATCATAAAGGACTCACTAAAGGTTATAAAGTCTTTGACATCATTCGGGAGATGGGTCTAGGATTAGGTCTCGAACTGAACATACATAAGAATAAGGTCTTATCAAGGGGTTTTCCATGAAGAGAGCTTCCAAAGTTGTTGAGTTAATGTATCTTTTGCAACAAATAAGGGATCTTCATAATAATTTTCTTCTACTTTGATCTTGCATGAGTATCACCAAACTAGCTTTTGGCCTAAGAACATTTTAACCTGATAATATGGAGGAATCATAAATTTGGTTCGATAAAGGGTTGCGAAGGATGGTTGAACCCACCGTAACTGGTGGATATCCTTTCTTTAGCTATTAGATTTGGGCATTAGGTTTGGACTTGGAAATAGAGATCATCTCATACACTTTTGTGGCATCTAGGACACAGTATTGGTTGTTACACATCTTATATTGGAAGATAGTGGATACTTGGCGGACTCTAATTTTGCAAGAGCTTTGGATGATCTTACTATTGCGATTGCAAACATTGACCTTAAAAATTTTACTAGCAAGGACATTGTCCGTCCTACAACACAACATGGTTTGTCAAGTGTTATTTTTTAATGGATTTAAGAGGGGGTTTCCAAAAAATTTATTAATCCTTTCAGCGTAACGATCTTGAAAAACTAATATTGAAGCATGCTTTAACTTTGATCGCATACATGACATATATCATTGTCTCTTTGAAGTCCACGCGAATAAAAAGTGAAACACGGTGCTAGCCGATTTTTGATAATGTTTACAACGATTAGGATTGCAATGGAAAGAGTTCCTCTATTAACAAAGAGATCTACTAAAACCTCAATGCTTTTATTTTGGACTTTTAGAAAATAAGCTCAGTCTTATTTATATTTATTTAATCTCTTCTAATTAAATGAAATCAAATATCATTTAAATTTAATTAAACTCTTTTATTTAAGTAAAACAAAATATTAATTAAATTAAATCATATTCAGCTTAATTAACTCTCAATATATATGTGGGGGGGGGGGGGGGGGGTGCATGCGTGCGTGTGTTTAAATTTTCCCTTCCCTTTTTCAATTTTTCATCTTGCTCTTGATCCTTAATTCATCTGCATACTCATGTCGTGTTCATTTATGTCATTCATTCACAATTACATTTTCAAACAAGCATCATTGATTCAAAGGTCCTTGTTATTTATGTCTAACATTGAACTATAGTTTTTCTGGAGATCCAACCTATGGAATATTGGTGATACAACTAACTTGGGATGTGCACCTCTTGGATTAGAATCTTTGTAGAACCCTAATTTTTGGTTTATGATTTTTGTTTGCATCATGGAACAGTTGATTGTGAAGATTATTTTTTAGTGGAATTTTCGTAATCATTTACATATGGAGCCTTACTCAATGCTTACCATGGATTGTTGTTTGATTCATGGCATGATATTTTTAGTCAATAAGTGTTTCAAATTCAAGACAAGGGTCAAGATTCATTCAAGTTCAAAAATTTTAAATGCAAACTTTGGAAGAAACATTTATCTCTTAGAGCACAAGACACCATTCATTTGAAAGGCTGTTTTTTTTGTTTTTCATTTACAAGTCATTAAACCATATTACAAAGTCCAAATTATGAAATTACACACAAAATTACATTTTTAACCTACATTTGACTTTTGGTCAACTGTTGAATTTTCGGTCAAACAGTTGACTAAAGTCAACTACCTAACTCTAATTCTAATCCTAAACCCTAATCTCGTTTTTTCTTCATTTACAAGATATTCATCATCTTAAAAAGCCTCCAAAGTCTTCAAGTTCTTTGTGTTTGATAGCTTGCCAAAATCTCTATGAACCTTGCCATGTCAAGCCTAGTCCCTTTTTACCATATGCATACCAACCCTGCAAAAACATACACCACAATTAGCATCATTCATTTATGTGTTAACAGTTCAAGCTCCACACCAAAACAATCTTACATAGCACTCAGGATCATTATGCATCAATTAAGGATACCACATTTCAAGGTGACAAGCTAGCACAAGGCTATAATCTTTCAGTTAATTATCAGTTCCTAATTCTTTTTAGCAGAAAACCACATCTAACATTCACTTATTTGCAATTCAATAACATCAATTACATTTCCATTATGCTAATAAAGGAATTTCAATCACTAACAACCAATCCAAATAATTCCACATACATTTTTCTAACAATACTATTTCGAATTACAAGCATGTCATAACAAGTCCTAAATTACTCCAAAACAGCTCAATATAGTCACCACATTACCATTCCAATATCATTTCACTAATTTCAAAAATCCAAAGTAATGCAGGCAAGTTCACATCTTGTAGTTATCAAATAACCAAACTTACTAACCCATTTTCATGACAATCCTAACGGTCACCATTCATAACTAACTAAATTCAAATTCAACTAACTATAACTCCAATTTGTTAATAACTAACTAACACTTCAATTTCTCACTACACCAATTCCATCTAACTACATTTAATAGTGTTTGACTC